AGAGAACATGTTTCCAGGCCACAGCTCCACACGGTGCCTCATCTAAACAGCGCCCCCATCAGGCAGGACGTCCAGAGAGCACCAGTGTAGCTGTCAGCAGGAATCTCTAAACTATGACTGGAGGGAGACGTCACCTCCAGAGGACTGTAGCTGTAGTGCGGCTGGTAGATCATCAGATCGGGTCTCTCGATGTCCAGGATGGCTTTGTCTCTCGGTAAGGCTGCCAAGTCCTTATAGCCGATAACCCCGTCCTCCACTCTGGCCTGGGGAGAGGGGGGGGGGATTACAGATTATTACCTCCAGATTAATCTGAAGGGTACGAGAGCGCGATCACAGTGTGTTTATCTCACCACGATGGCAGCAGCAGGGGATCCTGGGACGCCGGTGCCTCTGAGCGACAACACACTCCCCGGAGACGTCTGTGCCAGCTGCTGCTAACACACACACACACACACACACACACACACACACACACGCTTGTACTTGTGTCTTTGTGAGGACTATTACTGCCTCTTCCCCAGAGCCTAACTTGAACATTTGCTTCCTAAAGGAGCAGGAGAAACGTCCTCACTGTTCTGCTTCTTCTGTCAGCTTTATTATTTCCAAGCTGGAATTGTTCTGTAACTTTATTTGTTAAATTAAAAACCAGCCCAGATGTAAATTTGGCCAATCCTCCCTTCAGCATCGCCTCCTTGTGCACCTCTGGACTTCAACACCAAACATAGACTCATCTTTGAGCTGACACGCTTCTCATGTGGAGGAACATCGTTACTGAACCACCAGGAGGACTTGTTGGTTTTTATTGTTGAGCATCGCGATCATTCAGCAGAAACATCGTCATGCTGCAGCATCTCAACAACACGCCCCCCCCCACCCGACAACTATCAGCAAAAGAAAGGTGTGGTTTACCTTGGGCATCATCCTGACTACTGATTGGTCAGTTCCTGAAGGAGACACACAAAACATGATGTTAAATAAAGAGTAACAAGTCAGACGTTTCAGCATGACAAAGCAGGAGAGGCCAGAAAGAGTGAGGCATCATGGGAAACTTTCCAACAACCTTTCTCACATCAACACGTGTATCAGCTGCTCTGGTCCACACATGAAACATGAGTCTGACAATAATCTCCTTTTGTGTTCTTTTACTGTGCTGCTGTGCATCAGTGTTTCTGTCTGTGATAGAAAGGCCCACACTGAGCAGAGCCTCGCGCTGATACGAGCAGTAGACAGACTATATGCACGTTAGCATATGCTACTTCCGGTGCGGAAACTCCTGTGGGGAGCTTTGTTTCCGGTGTCGTATTCACGCCCTGTTTACGGCCCAAAACAAGTTAAGCAAATGAATCAAGCGGTGATTTACATTTCTATAGATGTCTCGGGCATTTACCCAATATATCTGTAAATGATGTTCATTGACTTGTCGATATTTTTCCCCCGCGCCTCAGAGCAAAAGAGAAAAGGATTCAGATGTTATATTTCTCAGCTGTCCCTCGTTTATCGCGGGTGTTATGTTCTAAAAATAACCAGCGAGAGGTGAAATCAAG